GTTTCAAAACTGTAGGAGGCACTGCTGTCAGCCTCAGGGGCACTCAGCGAATAGGTACAAACACTTATCTAGTTCAGTAAAATACGAAGCTTTGTGCTAGTTTCTTGTGATGTATCATCAGTGCCCCACTTCTTGTCTGAGCTAGGGATTAAAAATTTTGATTATTTGGATAATCGAATAATTGATGCAATTTGCATTCACTATTCAATTAGTTGATAAGGAAGCTTCCCCTTTTAAAGTCCCGAGGGCTGTTGCTAAATTTCAAAGGCGAAAACGCTGCGAGGAGCACGGGGCCAGTGTGGAACTCAAACGGTCCCCCACTGGCCATGTGTTCCCTGCGGCGTTTCAAAGCAGCTGTGCTGCATGGAGCCTGGGGTCAGCGCGGGACTCCCCTGCTGACCCTGGGCTCCACACTCCGCTGCCGCTTTGAAACGCTGTGTGAATACAGCTGGACTCCCAGCTGGCTGCAGGCTGCACATGGCATTTCAAACTGGCAGCGCCATGTGGAGCCTGGAGTCTGGCCCCAGGCTTCACGTGCCGCTGCTGCTTTGGATCTGATGACCTCTCTTTCCGCCCCTTGCTGTCTCTTTCTGATAGAGGCAGCAAGCGGGGGGAAGCAACTAGCCGACTAGTCTTGTTCACATCCCTAGTCTGTGCATGTGCGGAGGGAGAGCCAGACTGCGGGAAACCATCTTTTTTTCAGTAGAGGGAATTGGGCAAAGCAGCCACTCTCTTGTTTCTGTAAGGGAGGGGAGGCTGGGTATTTCACATACATGGAAACATCTTGCAGGAGAAGCCATGGTTGGAGGTAAGGAAAGGTGCATTATGATGTGGCTTTGGGGAAGGGTGAGGTTTTTTTCTATCTTGTGCAGGCGGCAGCACAAGGACATGGGTCTTTGTGGGGCTAATTAAGCTACCATTAACCTTGGTAATATCATGCAGCATAGAGGGATGTGATGGTTGGATAGAAGGGATATTTTTCTGAACAGGATTGGAGTGATCTGTGATAGGAGGATACATGCTGATTGTAAAATGATGTTGGTTTATGTAACTATATGAGGTGTCGCAAAGTTTATACTTTTTAACTATGTTGCAGCTAATATGTATGTAGCACTGAGTAATGTTGTAGCCTGTTCATGTTGCAGAATATTGGAGATGGACCCTTGAAAAGGAAATAGGATTTTATAATTTGGTTGGTTTTACTTTGGCATGTGTTTGTGCAAATCTGAAGCTAAGAGGGTGCTATAAATTGGTTAGGGGTATTGAGTGAAGGACAAAGAGTTGTGTTGTAGTGAAAGTGGACTAGATCTTTTCACTGTTCTTCTGGTTTTTTTTTAAAGAGAATGTAATACAAGTTTTTGCGCATTAAGTGGACTCTACTGAAACACACATCTAGCTATATTTCTTTTTTAAGTTACTTTTAAAATTTGGGACATTCCTTTTTTAATGGAGCTGTTAGTTTAAATCATGTTGGTGCGGAAGGCCTATAAGAGAGGAATTCTGCTTCAGCAGAGCTTATGAGGTGCATCCAATCAGGGCTGCTTCCTTGCAGATCTTAGCAGTCCATCAGAGGGAGGTGTGTTTCGCTTGGGTAAGGAATGTGGGTATTGGAGAAGGGGAGTTTTTAATCTGTGTTGTAAGTTCTTTCCTTTACAACGTTTAAGAAAATGCTAAGAATTTTAACAAATTAAAATGCAAAGGCCCAGTTTCTTGTTCATCCTAATTCCTTGTACTCGCCCCCATACCTTCCCTGGTCAGTGCCCCCAGTCTAGGTCCCTACCTTGGGTACTATCCAGCACCTCTAGCAGCACAGCCTGGACTCAGTAACAGGTCTGTTTGCACAGTCTGAGTGGCCCAAAGAGATAGTGCTATCTCTTTATGTTCTGGTTGGAATGAATTGGGTTTGTCAGTATGACTCAGTAGTAGTATTCCTGAAGCTAATGTAAGGCAACAGAAGAGTCTCTCTTTGCATACAGTTCTTATCCTGCCTGTGTGCATTGGGGGTATTCCAGGTAAGACAGAAAAAAAACAGGTGCTGATTGGTTTTCTGGTTACTAAAGATCTCATTGCACATTCTGTTTTTTAAAAAAAGGCATTGTGTGGTGTCATTGGCCAACGTTTTTTACTTTCTGAATGCGATATGCACGCAGTGTATCACTGTTAGACCACTGTCCATTTCCCCCAGAGACAGCTGCATTTCAGTGGTGCTGCGGTTAGCAGGGCTGTTTTGGGAACCACTGATCATAGAAATGCAGGATTGGAAGCAACGTTGCCTCTAATTTTTTCCATCCATGTGTGGAATAAATTTAATGTGCACCACCAGTAGAAGTACATGCTGCTGGCAGTGGGCCCTCTGCTAATCAGCTGGGTGGCATTTGAATCACAGCAACCCAAGTGCTCAGGTTACGGGGAATACTGATTGCAAGGGATCTTGAAAGGGCATTTAGTCCATCCCCCTGTGTAGACCATTGCTGACAAGTGTTTGTTTAAGCTGCTCTTAAAAATCTGTATTGACAGGTATTCCACAGCGTCCCTTGGTTCCAATGCTTAACTATCCTTAGAGTTAGAAAGTTTTTCCTAATACCAGTGGCAGATATAGGGCAGGGTGAGCGGGGCAGCTGCCCCGGGCCCAGTGCTTCAATAGGCCCCACGCACGCGCTATTACCTGTCAGCTGTGGCTGTAGCACATGCGCAAAATTGTGCTGCCCTGGGCCCCGCGCTTCAATAGAGCCTGGGCCCTGCAAAACTCTCATCCGCCCCTGCCTAATATCTAACCTACATTTCTCTTGATGCAGATTAAGCCCATTACTAGTTGTCCTATATTCAGTGGGCTTGAAGAAGAATTGATCACTTTTCCCTTCATAACAGCCCTTAGCAGATTTGAAAACTCCAAACAGGCCCCCCTCAGTTGTCTTTTCTCAAGACTAAACATGCCCACGTTTTTTAACCCTTTCTCTTAGGTCAGGTTTTTGAAATCTTGTTATTTTTGTTGCTCTCCTCTGGTCTCTGTCCCATATGTCCACATTTTGCTGTAAGTGCACTGCCCCCAACTGGTCACAGTATTCCAAGTGGGGCCTTGCTGTAGCCCAGTAGAGCAGAACAATGACTTGCTTCTCTATGTCAGACATGATATTTTTGGTAATCGACTCAAGAATATTCGTTTGTTTGCAACTGTTGATTTGTATTCCATTTATGAGCTACTGTAACTCTCAGAACCTTTTCTGCAATACTCCTGCCTAGCCAGCTATTCTCAATTTATAGTTGTGCATTTTAGGGAAGTTACATTTAGATTAATTAACTAATCAATCGAATAGTCAATGGGATTTCCATCGACTATTCGATTAGTCTATAAGGGCGCCTCCGCTATTGAACTGTTGCAAGAGCCCTGCCGTACTCCCTGTGTGCCTCAGCCTTTGAAATGTACAAGAGCCTAAGTGGGCTCTTACACATTTCAAAAGGAAGCCTGGCAGAGAGCGCAGGACCAGCAGGGGACTCCCCTGCTGGCACTGTGCTCCCTGTGGTGCTTGAGCCTTTGAAATGTACAAGAGCCCCAGTGGGGCTCTTGTACATTTCAAAAGCGGAATCCTCAAAGAGAGTGCAGGGCCCGCTGGGGCTCTTGTACATTTCAAAAGCAGAATCACAGCAGAAGTGGCGCGAATGGAGACTGCTTCAGTCCTCGCTCGTGCCATTTCCTGCTATGCCTCTACCTACCCTGCCCCCTGTGGAGACAGTGCTGGAGGGAACTGGCTTTTAAGCCGGCTTCCCCCTAGGGATGTGAAAGACTAGTCAACATGCTGGTCGACTAGTTGCTCCCTCCCCGCTGCTGCCTCTATCAGAAAGAGGCAGCAAGGGGTGGGAAGAGGTAGAGGTACTTCAAAGCGGCAGTGCTGCTTGAAGCCTGGGGCCAGACCCCGGGCTCCACTCGGCGCTGCTGCTTTGAAACGCCGCATGCAGCCCGGGGCCAGGGATCAGATGGGGACTCCCCTGATGATCCCATGGTGCACGTGGCGCTTTTGCTTTGAAACGCTGCAGGGAACCCGGCATCCGGCTGCATGCGGCTTTTCAAAGCGGCAGTGCCATCTGGAGTCCAGCATCAGCTGGAGTTCCCAGCTGATCTTGGGTTCCATGCAAAGCTTTTGTCTTTGAAGTGTAGGAAGATCCCTATTCGATTAGTCAATTAGTTGCCAATTACCATCCTTACTCTCCCCAGCGCTGGCTCCTGCTCTCTCCCCCTTCCCCCTCCGCCGCCTTGACTCTCTCTGATATCAGCAGCAAGGAGGGAAAGCGACTAGTCGCATCACTGGCTGACCAATCGCTTATATCCTTAGTGGGTGGTTCAAGCCCGTTGTGCCACAGGTGGGGGCTGCCTGGGCTAGGCTAGTCCGGGAGGCTGCTCCGGCTGGGCCTGCCACACTGCAACATGGATAGGGGCCTGCTCCTGCCAGGACTGCTGTGCTACAGGTGAGGGTCTGCTCCTGCCCCATGTCCAGCCACCAATTAACCGGTTGCCCATAAGCATCACTCAGTAAGGGTGATGCTTAGTGGGTAACCGATTAACCCTTACATCCCTAATCACTTACCACCCTATGATGATAGTTACACTTTGGGAAGCCTGCATGACTGATCCGATAGGTTCTCACTTTTTTTTGAACATTGGCATTACATTTTACTCCAGGAGAGAGTTTTTGTAGGTTTGGGGGGCGGATTGCTCCCCAAGAAAATCCTTATTTCCAGTTATTGCAGGGCTTGAGCTGAGGAGGGTTATGATTTGCTGGGCACTGCGCTGTGTAGAAAAATTACTCCATTTGGAGAGCGATGGCAAGTGTATGGTAGCTGGAAGGGACTTGGGAAATGGAAATACGCATTATCCCAGGCGTATAAATGAAGAATCGCTAAACTCCCTCGGATTCTTTCAGTATTATACCTTTTAATTCCTCCCCTCCCCTCCCCTGTTTCAGTTGTGTTCCTTTTGCTTACCTCTGCTCCCTCCGTTCCAACAGATCTGGTGGCTGGACCCAGACCTAACTTGTGGCAATACCAAGCCATTTGTCTTCACCCAGGGCCATTCAGTGTGTAATCGGTCCTTCTTCCCCTGCTTCGACACGCCGGCGGTGAAATGCACCTACTCAGCTACAGTCAAGGTAGGTAACTCCAGTGGCGTGAGCAGCCTTGGGCAGGAACAGCACAGTGCTCCCGTGAGCTGTCACTGGGATCTGGTAGGAGACACGAGACTTTGGGTCGTCCCCGAACAGAACCCGCATAGCCCTTCTGGAGCGAATCCCAAGCCTTGCACTCCCATAGCTGAGCTCCCCGGGACCATTCATTCCGCAGTGCACGTTCGGAAAGAGAATTAGATTGAGTGGTAGCTTCCAGCAAGGATGATTGGAAGGTAACGCTCTCCACCGGTGACGGGGAGGGCTCGGCTTTGAAAAAGCTGCGCCAGGAATTGTGACCTTGTGGGTGGATGGAGCCTGTGGGCGCTCCAGGAAGGGGAATAGCCGCGTGTGCGTTCTGCAGTTGGGTTAGTCAGGGTCACTTCCCATACAGCTCACCCAGATTTAATTCCCCCCCTCTCCCCCCACCTATCTGCCGTCATTCTGTCTTTCTCCCACCCATTGAATTACATCCTTCCAGGAAAAGTAAATTCTGCGAGTCTGGTCCCTTGGCCCCAGTCAGCTCAGCCGGCGTAAGCCGCTGTGTGTTGGTCTTTCAGGCCCCTGCAGGAATCCAGGTGCTGATGAGTGCCACCCAAAGTACCTATTCGGAGGAGGAGGGCGTATACCAGTTTTATATGGAATATCCGGTTCCTGCCTATCTTGTGGCTCTGGTGGCAGGGGACCTCATACCGGCAGACGTTGGCCCCAGGTGAGATTAACAGCTGGCTGCTTCTGCTTTATGCCTTGTGTCCACGTGAAGCTGGGTTGGGCAGTCGTGTGGGTCAGAGTTAATGCCGCGAGGGGCTACCATGAGGGAGTGAGAGCTGTGACCCTTCAGCGAGCTGGAGGTCTACATGGGTGTAGAGTCCCCACCGAGTTGGACTGCAGGAGCTGTACTTGGTGTGAGCTCGTAGGACTGTCTTTTTGTCCTGGGTTTACACAACACTTACACCAGAAGGGCCTGCTGGAGGAGGAGCAGCTCTGAGTGCTGCCCCCGTCGCTCCCGTTGGCTGGGAATCACAGTCAGTGGGAATGATGGGGGGCAGCGCCTACAGGGAGTGCTTCCTTGCAGCGTGCAGAGCTATGCAGAGACACCTGTGGGCCCCCAGGAGCTGTGCCAGGTAGATGCCCCAATCCCCTGTACTGTCCTGAACCCGCACCCCTGCCCCGCTCCTGCACTGCCCCTCCTGCCCAGAACCTGCACCCCTGCCCCGCTCCTGCACTGCCCCTCCTGCCCAGAACCTGCACCCCTGCCCCGCTCCTGCACTGCCCCTCCTGCCCAGAACCTGCACCCCTGCCCCGCTCCTGCACTGCCCCTCCTGCCCAGAACCTGCACCCCTGCCCCGCTCCTGCACTGCCCCTCCTGCCCAGAACCTGCACCCCTGCCCCGCTCCTGCACTGCCCCTCCTGCCCAGAACCTGCACCCCTGCCCCGCTCCTGCACTGCCCCTCCTGCCCAGAACCTGCACCCCTGCCCCGCTCCTGCACTGCCCCTCCTGCCCAGAACCTGCACCCCTGCCCCGCTCCTGCACTGCCCCTCCTGCCCAGAACCTGCACCCCTACCCGGCTCCTGCCCTGCACCTCCTGCCCAGAACCTGCACCCCTACCCGGCTCCTGCCCTGCACCTCCTGCCCAGAACCCGCACCCCTGCCCTGCTCCTGCACTGCACCTCCTGCCCAGAACCTGCACCCCTGCCCCGCTCCTGAACTCCCTTCCTTTCAGACCTCTCCTCCAACTCCTGCACCCTACTTCTCACCCAGACCCTCACACCATCCTGCTCTTGCACCCTCCTTCCCTTCCAGACCCTGCACCCCAACCCCCATCCCTCTCCTGTACCCTCCCTCCCGCCCAGACCCCGCACCTCTTCTCCCAGCCTGCTCCCTGGCAGCACCTCCCGCACACTGAACCTCTCGTTTTTGGTCCCACCCCAGACCCTGGGGGACTCTACAAAATCTACTAGCCCCAGGCCAGCAGAAGAGTTCATTTGGCCCTGAAGGTCTGAGCCTTGGTGCTGCCTCCTCCTCCCCATCCTCCGTGGGGCTAGAGCTTGAGGGGAGGGGGTGTGTCTTTTTTTTTCCTGCTTCCCAGTTGGGGGGCCACATTGGTGAGGGTTTTTTTCTCCTCACTTGGCAGCCACATCAATGAGCTTTTTTTCTTTGCTTTTCACTGGTGTGTGGCTCCCACCTGATTTTTCTGTGAGTTGGTGGCCCCCCACCCAAAAAAAGGTTCCCCACCCCTGACTTACGCCAAGGGGTCCGGGTCCAGCTGGGGGCTTGTAGGCACTGTGTCATGCATTAACATAGTATTAATTGGTATGGCTTTATTACTTGCCCTCATCAGATCTTCCAGGTTTCCTCCAATGATTACATCAACTTGGGTCTCAGTAAATTGTGAGATCTTTGGGGCAGTGGCCTTCTTTTCCTGTGTGTAAAAACCCGTTTAGTTAACCGGTTAAACGGGGGCAAGCGGGAGGGCTGCAATGGACAGGCTGGAGTGACTCCCGTGCCATGGACGGGGGCTGCTCTGGCCAGGCTGGAGTGCCCCCCTGCCTGCCGCGGACCCTGCTTGTTAACCAGGGAACCATTCACATCCCTAGTGCACGCAGTGCTTAGCACAGAAAGGCCCTGATCCTATCCCAAGACCCCTTCCTTCACTACTGGAATACAAATGTGACGAGGAAGCGTGGTGGAAAGAGGTTTTGTTCTGCTGGAGAGAGATTCCTTCTGTTTGAATGACGGGCTCCCATTTTCTGCCTTGTGACAGGAGCAGGGTGTGGGCAGAGCCTTGTCTGCTGCCAACAGCCATCAGCAAGCTGTCTGGCATGGTGGAGCGCTGGCTGAGTGCTGCAGAGAGCCTCTATGGCCCCTACATATGGGGAAGGTGAGTGCCATAGAATCCGTCTGGTTACCGACAGGAGAATGCAGGTGAAACACTGTGGAAGGGCACACGGTGATGGAGCTCTATCTGGCAGGCCTGATAGGCCTCTGAGGAATGTATGATGTGGAGTTAATAACTGACTGGAGAGTCTTGCTTCAGCTTTGGACCTGCTTTTGGCTGAGGTCAGTGGCTCAGACGTTCTAGCTTGTTTTTCAGCTTAATTTTCCAAAAGGAAATGACTGGACCATCTGCTATCAACACGACATCTCTGTTCAGTTCACTTATAAAGCCCAGTGAAGCTCAGCTGGCTAGTCAGTCTTCAGCGAAAGCGTAAAGGATGCGGCACGGGGCAAAGCTCAGTGCCTTCCAGAAAGCTGCAGACTCTTTGGGCTAACTTGCCTGTGCCTAGCCCTAACCGGTTCTTCTAGCCGATATGCTGACTCAGTGCTCTTTTCTTTTGTGAGTAGTCTCCAATATCCTTGTTCACACCGCATGTCCCCAGGAAGCGTTGGAATTCCCAGCTGAGTGAGAAATGTTTCTGATGTCTACTAGGGAGGTAACCATGTAACCACTAAAATCTTAGCGTTACACACGCCTGGGAGCTCTGCGGTATATAGCGTAGCTTTGCTTTCCACTGCAGAGCCTCGCGGGCTGTCAGGTCTGCCGGCTCCGCTTTTGTGGGGGAGGCTTTGCTGCCCAGAGGGGAGGTTATGGTATCATGGTGAAGCTGCCTTCCCGGGAGTGTGGTCGGCCGGGACTGCCGGCCCCACTCCTGGGGAGCCACAGCATCTAACCTGGGCTGGGCCGGGCTCACCACAGACAGAGACTGTTCTGGCCAGCTGGAGCAGCCTCTGCCTGCAGTGGGCCCCACAGGGCTGGAACGGGCGGGCTCAGGGTGTTGAGTGTTTGTAGGGTTGCCAGGTGCCCGGCATTTTCGCCTCCTGGCCAGGGAAAAATTCAGAGAATACCAGATATCTCAGGTGTCTGGTATTCTCTGAATTTTTTTACCGGACAGGAGGCGAAAATATCAGACTGTCCGGGTGAATACCGGACACCTGGCATCTCTAGTGGTATCTTCCCCTTTCTGCTGGGTCCTACACAGCTATGCAGCTCTCTGCTCTCATCCCCATCCACAGACACCACCCCTGCAGCTCCTATTGGCTACAGTGGTACTTGGGGCAGTGCACAGAGCCCTCTGGCTGCCTCTATGTATAGGAGCCCGAGTAGGGTCATGCTGCTGCTTCCGGGAGCTGCTCGGAGCAGGGCAAACCCCACTCCTCAGCAGGTGCTTGAGAGTGGGAGTCAAACAGCTGATGAGCCAGATGCAGGCTGGAGTTTGCAGCCGGAACACTTCCCCCATTTCTTTCATTCCAGCCCTTTCCTTTTACTTTTGTATTACGTCTTTGGGACAAGGTGGGTTTGAACCTCACCTAGCCAAGCGCTTCGCTTGGCGCTCAGTCTTGCAAGGTGCAGAGAGCCTTTGGTGAGGTGCTAAACGCACTCGTCTCCTGTTGAAGTGAGAGTTGATGGCGCTCAGCACCATGCAAGGGAGGGCCCCACACCCTCTATCACCACTGGCTGGAGTTCAGTTTGGCTTTGATACTCTCGGATGAGTCTGTCGTATTTGAGGGAATTGCTTTTGTTCTTGGGTTAGCTATGTACACAGGGCTTCTGTATTTCTTTGTTAAGGAGAGGCAGGGGAAAGGTTTCCTACCCAGCAAAGCTAAATGCAGGGCTCTCTGGCTGATGCCCACTGGGCCTATGCTGATCAGTTGGTGGGGAGGTCAGTATTGCTGCAGTTTGACCTGGAATGCGTTGGCTAGAGGGCTTAAGTAGTGGGCTAGGAACATGGTCACCAACCTGTCAATTGCAACTGACTAGTTGATTGGGAGGGCTCGACCAGTTGATCGCAAGGTGTTGGGGTCCCTCCCATTTCTCCCCTCCCCCCCCCAAGAAGCCCCACTACCTACCTCCAGCGACAACGGAGGTAGTGCCAGCTTCCTGCGGGGTGGAAGAAAGTCCAGCAGCTGCGTGCCACTTCCGGGGTTTCAGGAAGTGCACTGACTGCTCCCCCTCCCCCAAACAGCCGGCGCGGTACCACAACCCAGGTCTGTGGCGCACTGGGAACTTGCTGCATGGGGGGGTAGGGGGTAGGAGTCCCCAGAGGAGGTGCGTGACAGGGCTTCCTTCCTCTGTGGGGGGGGGGGGGGGGGGGGGGCCC